CAGGGGGCAGGGAGCCGAGTCCCGAGAGCCCACTGACATGCCTGCTCACCCACTGCAGGGCCTGTGGGGGGCCGAGCCTGTGCCCGCGCAGGTGCTGCTTCTCAGAAAAGCCCTGGAGGGCCTGCCACGGGATGGCACAGTGCAAGCTGCTGACTGGCACCCTGGCAGGGCCATTCCCAGGCTCCACCCGGCAGCGGCGCGCCTGGCTGGGCTCCACTAGCACCTCCTCTGGGCAGGTTGTCCTGGGCCTTCCTGGTGGGACTCCACTGGCCTCCTGGGTGCCGCCTTTCGACTCTGGTGGGGCAGACAGGCCTTGCTCATTGTGAGGCCCCAGGGCCCCCAGCCGCCTGAAGGCAGTCAGGAGCAGCATGTCCCAGCGCTCCCTTGGCAAGCGGTGGCTCCCAAGGCAGTTGGACAGCAGAGCCCGGAGCCAGGATGCACCTTCCTGCTCCAGCCGTGATGGCCCCCAGGGCTCACCCCTCCATGCGGGGAAGAGGTGGAAACATGGGTACATGTGGGAAACCGATGCACGTGGCAGCAGAGTGACAGGAGATGCTCAGATCATAAGCGGTGGGGTGGCACTGGGACCCTGGACGTGAGTTCTGACTGGCGCCGAGAGACCTGGGGAGGAGGGTGCCCTGGTGGTGGTGTGGGCCGGCCTATTCAAGGGCAGGAGCAGGAGAGGCCACCCCTGTTACCTGAGGGCCTGGGAGGGCCGCCTGCTCCCTCAGCGCCGTGCCCTAGGCTCCGTGCAGGCCGGGCCCACAGCGCTCCCCCAGGCCCCCTAGCAGCCCCGTCTCCTCAGGAGGCCAGGGCAGCAGCCCCACCGCGCTCGGGAGCAAGAGCCCTGCAGGTGGGCTGTGTGGCCGATGCCTGGGAACAGTGAGTCCTTGGAGGAAGGGCAGGCAACAGGAGCGTGGACACGGTGAGCAGCAGGACTGCAGACACAGCACCCGTACGTCCGGCCTCTCAGCCCAGGTGCGCCGGCAGGGCTTCCCTGAGGACACTGACTTGCTGGCTGACCAGAAACAGCAAGTCGAGGCCATGCTGTGGTGTTTGGTTTGGTTCTTTAAACTATAACGACGGGCAGCCAGTCCAGCCCCCTTGTTGAGCTTGGGTTTGGAGAGAAAATGGGGTTCAGTGTTCCTTGCTTGTGAACTGCCATGTAAGGTCGGGGAATGTTCCAGCAAAGTCACACAGGCGGCTGGACAGGGCCAGGAGGACTCAGAGCCTTCCCAGAAGCCTCTTCCCGGGTCCCGTGTGTGCGTTTCCCATGGTGACAGCTCTCGCAGACCCGCCGCCAGCAGGGCAGGCCACGGTCCTCTCACTCCTGGACGTTTCCATGCCTGGGGAAGGGACGCCACTCACTGGGCCCACAGGGGCTGGGGACTCTTGTTTCTAAAGGATGCTGCCGTTTAGAGAAAAACCCCATCACCACGGAGAACGCCGGTCTTCCTGGTCGTAGGGAGTGGGTGCCCTGGACAGGAGCCCTGGGTGTGCCCACAGCACCCTCCTCCCCGAGGCCGATGCAGCGTCATGCCTGAACGCCCTCGGCAAGCTGGCTGGAGGGCTGTGTCGGCTGCAGCACCGGCGACCACAGGTGACGCGGCAGCGCTGGCCTCTGTTGCTCTGTTTTGTGTCCAGTGTGCACAGTGAGGTGACCCTGGAGCCAGCTCAGGCCACCTTGGGGGTCACATCCTGGAAGGACAGCCTAGACCCTGGAGGACATGCCCTGTCACCTGGGGGTTTGGACAGCTGTTCATGGAACTCACATGTGCTTGGCACCTGGTCTTGCTCCAGCCTCAGTGACACAGCAGAGGGTCACACTCAGGCTGCGACCCCAGAATGCCCCTGATCTCTGCACTCCTGGAGCAGGCTGGGCTGGTCGGTGTCATGGACAGCCCGCTGGCTCCCCAGGAGGCGCATTAGTCTCATCCCAGTGGCAGGGGCACCCAGTCCCTCCTTGATCTCCCAGGAAGCAGGGCTGGGGACAGCCAGGTGATGCCCCAAGGTCATGCATGCAGTGACCCAGGAGGTCTGGCACAGGGAGGAGCTTGTCCACGGGGGAAGCTGACCCTCTGGTGCTCGGGCATCCTGGTGTCAAGGCCAGCACAGTGTGCCTGCGGAAAGGGGGGCTGGAAGGAGGCTCCCCACACACGGGCCTCAGCCCTGGATCCGGGAAAGCGGCCATCGTCCTGGGAGCTTTAGGAGAGAGATTCCCCCACAGCTCCAAAGCCTTGGTGTTTCTGAGGCCTGCGGGTACAGGGCAGTTTGAAACCGGCCTGTGAGCTGGCCGGTGCCCACTCGGTGCAGCATGTGGGCACAGCACCTTACCAGGGGGTTGAGAGGCGGGAAGGTCGGGGCCACAAAGCTGGTCCAACCCGAATCTTCTGGGGGCCCAAGGCAAGGCTGGGGGTGGAGGCTGTGTTGGCACTCGCTGCCCCCTCAGCAGGCCTCACTTGCGAGGGTGGCCAGGGCCCTGCAGGGAGATGGAGTTGATGGTCTCTGTTTCAGTCACAGTACCTTCCAGATGAACCTAGACCAAGATGTCAGTGCTGAACCCCTGTGGCTCTGAAATTGCTGGGACATGCGGGTGACTGTGCCCTGCTGGAAGCAGTGGTGGGAACTCAGGGACAACCGGCGGTGCTCACCAAGTAGAATGAAAGCCCTGTGTGAGCGGAAGCATAAGTAACAGCCCAAGATGTGCTGAATATAAGTCTACAGTATGTGCTCAGGCGATTCTCATGGACAGACATGTGGACACAGGTGTGACTGCACCTGTGCGGAAGCCCGGCTCTTGCTGACGCACAGGTGACAGGTGGGAAGGCAATGCCCAACATTACCAGAACGCCTGTTTGGACATGGAAGTGTGGGTGCGCCTTGTGTACCTTCTAGGCTCCGCTGTGTGTCCCCCTTCCCCCAGGAATGAGAATTTATCCACCGTCACGGAGCAGAGCCAGTGCTTCCTTTCAGGTGGCTGCACTGAGGGTCTCCATTAGCCCTGCTGACCTGGCCGGGGCAGCAGAGGGGCAGCCCCGGGCCGGCGGGCTTGTGCACGCCAGGCAAGGCAGCGGGTGCCGCCGACCCCGCTCTCTGGTTTCAGCACGGCGCACGATGGGGCCTTTGCTAAGCTCGGGAGGGCTGGAGGTAGGGTTAGAACAGGCCCCGTGGGTTGCTCTAAGGCATCTGTCAGGTGAGAAGAAAAAGAAAAGCCTGTGGTGGCCCCAGAGATCCACTCACCTGGAAGCTGTGGTATCACCTCATTTGGAAACAGGGTCTTTGCAGATGCGATTAAGTTGAGAATCTCGAGATGAGATCATCCTGGACCTGGCCGGGCCTTCCACCCAATGGCCAGTTCCTTACAGGAGAGGAGGGAGACTTCAGAGGGAGCAGGTGGCAGCAGAGTCCAGCCTGCGGCAAGCGGCAGGGGCCCAGGAGCTGCAGGAGCCGGGGGCGAGGCGGGGCCGGTTCCCTGGAAGGAGCCGCTCTGGCGCTCGGTCTCAGTGTCTGGTCTCCAGGCGGAGAAGGCAGATGTCTGCCGTTCAAGCCCCTGCCAGCCTGAGGCCACGGCACAGTCTGCTCTGCCCCTCAGCTCCTGGGCTCCCTCAGCTCCAGTCACCTCTGCACCAGCATGCCTGGTGGACCTGGGTCCACAGCACCCGACTACAGACAACCTGCCCCACCAGCGTGTTCGGGCACCACCTGTGCCGGGCTCAGCATGTAGCTCAGGATGAGACAGCACAGTCCAGCCAGAGCTTCCGGGAGACCCGGACCCTGAGCCCACCGCCATGTCCTGGGCCCGCGGGCCTGGGGACGAGGAGGCCAAGCCCCATGCAGTGGGGATTTGACCGCACTGAGCTGGCCTTCTGGTCAGCAGTGCTTGGGGGGATGCCCCACAAGGGGCCTCATCTGTCCCAGGGGCCACAGGCCAATCCAGTCTGTGCCCAAGTTCCCCAAGCTTCCCACTGGGGAAAGACAGGTAAGGGGAGAATAGTGCTCGCCTGGCACCTGGACGGCCAGCGCCACATGCCCACTGAGTGACTAGGAGGGTGGGGTGACCACACGGTGCCATCAGATCAGCCGCTCTGCCGAAGGGACCTGAGGATGACAGCTCGGGGTCTGAGGTGAGGGTCCCAGTGAATGAACAGCTAATGCACAGCCTGGTGAGGGTGAGGAATTGAGAGGAGACTGAGAGGTGGTGCGGCAGCAATGAGAACAGGCCTGCAATGCAGGCAGGGTGAGATGGGAGTGTGGTGGCAGCTCCGGGCAGGTGGGACGTGGGATGGGCGGGAGCCCCACACAGGCTGAGTGGCAGAGGGGAGGAGGCTGGGCTGGCATTTCTGTGCTGCACCAAGGACGGGCCCAGTGGGCGAGGCCCGGCCGTCATTCTGGGCTTGTGCACCTCTGCTGCGAATGTCGGGCAAAGCCCCGGGCCCCTCGGGAGCTGCACGGGGCGGGGTAGCCCTTGGGTGCCTGACCCTCGCCTCGGGAGCCCTTGAGTGCAGCTGGCCACTGAGGATACTGCCTCAGCCTGGGGCCGCCCTAGGAGACAAGAGAGAGGGCAGCCTGGTGGGACGTGGGACAGGAGACGAGGTGGTCTGTGGGGACCGCATCTCTACCTTCTTCATCATTCTAAAGGTGGTACTCCCACTGTCCAAGCACCGTGGCTTGAGACCACCATTACCTGGGGCTCTGGGACCCTGGGCAGGTAACGGACTCATCAGCCAAGGCTGCGTGTGCCACCCCACTCTGTTCCCCCAGGGGCTCTGCGGACATGTGCATCTGCTGTGGGTGTGGCTCCATTGGGGACACGGGCAGCGGGGACCAGCTCCAAATCCCTGCCGGTGTAGCGCAGCGCACGCAGTGTGCATGCCCCCCGGAGCTACTCTCCACGGCATGGACCAGGAGGGACTGTCCCAGCTCGGCCGGCCTTGTGGACATTCCCAGCGGGGACCCTCGTGTCTGCAGAGGCTGACCACTCTCTTCTCTTCGCTCCTCAGGTCTCCTGACAAACACAGCCTCAGAGGGGCCCTGGGAGTGGCCCTGGCTCCCTGCAGAGTCCGCACCTTGGCCACGGTCCACTGCGGACGCCCCCGTTCTGCACCATCCGCCCACCCTCCGTTTCTCCGCAGCCCGTCCGGGACGGCGCGCTTCCTTGGCATCCTGAGCTGTGTCTGTCCAGCCTCCCCGAGTGGTCCAGCCTGGGACACACAGTGGGGGCTGCATCCAGCATCCGTGGGAGCGTGGCCTCGCACGCCCTCCCTGGCCGTGGCCTTGACTGAGCTGTCCACAGAGGCGCAGGAGGAAGAGGCGGCTGAGGCCGGACGGGCTGCAGCCCAGCCAGCCCGACTGGAGGACCCGCCGGGCCTGGGGGAGGACTCACTCCCAGGCACAGAAGTGGCCTCTCCTCGCGCCCAGACTGTGCGAATTGCTTTTATTTTCTTACCCTTTCAGTACATCAATAGACCAAAGAGCAAAATCTATTTTACCGCAGACTCACCGCCACCGTCGGTCCCCGGGCTCCTCCAGGGGACGTGGGGGCAGAGACATGCCAGCAGCCCCAGCGGGGCGGAGCGGGCGGCCCTGGCAGAGGCCCCCACCCCACGAACATTGTGGTGCGCCCTGAGGGGCCAGGCTGCCTGGGGCGTGCTGCGGCAGCCCCGCGGACGCAGCCAGCGATGTCCCCGTGCAGAGCCCACGAGCACGCCACCCGGGGAGTCCAGGCCACCGCCCACACCTGCTCCTGTGTACTTAGGTGGACTTTATGTACTAAATTCACTTTCTGTTTTAACCAGTTACACACGCCTGTCTGCGCTCCATTCCTGATAGTGGGATAATCCAGGATTCGCCAAGAGCATGTTGGGTCTCCCGTGACTGCTGTCATCCGATACACCATTTAGCTCCAGAAAGCAAATTAAAGAAAACAAAAGTAACACTTGTTTGAAAGAGATCATTAAATGTATTTTGCAAAGCCTAAAGTTATATATTTAACAGTTTTTATATGTTGTATATTTGTAGAAAATCCTATTTAACAATTACTGTGGTGCCCCTGGCTGTCCAGGGAGGTGGGCCAAGCCCTGGGTGGTCCTGAAGGTGCCGGGGGGCCACAAGGGGAGCTGGCAGCCCCGGCCTAGAGGGCCGGGCGTGGAGGGGCCGGACTCGGGGCAGCGAGCCGAGGACCAGGGCAGGGAGGGCCCGAAGGCCGCTCGTCTTCACCCAGCCCCGTCCCGTGGCCCCTGCCCGTGGCCCCTCTTGCCCACGCCAGGTGTTCCGTGCTCGAACCCACCTCTTTGGTGGGTTTCATTTCCCTTTTCTTAGCTCCCACATCATAGATTCCAGGGTGTGTGCAGCTGTCTCTTCCCCCCAGTGGGTGTCCCGCCTGCTCAGTCTTCAGGCCCGAAGGGTGAGGAAGCAGGTGGGCAGAGGGCAGCGAGAGCAGCAGGCACCCGCCCCCCCATGCCCCTCCCTGCCAGGGGGCGCCGCCGGGCCCGGAGGAGGAGAGCAGGGCGTCTTTTCTTGCCCTGGCCATCGAGTGCCAGGTTCCTTATCTTCCTGAGTTCCCGCTGAACTGTACTACCTAAGAGTCAGATTAACAGGAGTATTATGCTAGTTCTATGCTACTAAAAATATGAAGAAAACGTAAACAGTATATATAACTATATAGAAGCTGTTCCAGCAGCCCATAGACTAAAGCTAGGAGAGAAAAATCCATTTATTTAAGACCCGCCCCAGCGTCCATGAGTATTTAATTTGCCTGTCAGTCACCACAATCTGGAGATCTGTGTGTTCTGGAGCAAAAGTTGCGGCTGTGGGCTTGTTTCTCATCACAGAGGGGCTGGGCCCACGCGGGACGCTGTCCCGAGCCGGCTCCTGGGGGCGTGGGGGCCGACAGGCCCGGGGCCCCTCTGCCTTGCCCAGCCAGCGACCCCGCTGCCTCCCCTCACCTGTTTCTTCTGACAGAGTGTAGACACCTGCAAGGGCAGAGACTGGGAGATTTAAGGTATTACGGCTTTTTTTTTTCTTGTTTTACAGTATTCAATTTTGTGTTGATTCAGCTAAATTATGAAAATAAAGAAAAAATCCTTTGATAAGCATGGCTTCTGTGCGCTGGCCGTGGTGTCCTGGGAGGGGCTGTAGCTGGCGTGGCTGGCGGGGTCAGAGCTCAGAGCACACGTGGGGACAGGAACCTCCTTCCTGGGCATGGGGTCCACCAGTACTGTGTGCGGTCTGAGAGCCCTCCAGGCGGACCCGCCGTGGGCTCCCTGGAGCCCTGCCTGGGTGAGGGGCGGTGCCCGGTGGTAGCTGCCCAGGGGCCACTGGGCAGAGGCGGGTCACCGTGTAGCTACTTGAGACACAAAGGCAGCGCATCTCCTCGTCCCTCCGCCAGTCCGAGTGCTCCCATGTCGGGCCAGCTGGGAGTTTGGCGGCCACATCCACTGCTTCTCCCCAGCTTCTGTGAGCCAGGTACATGCACACCCCAGGTCCCACTCAGAGGCCCCCGGAGGAGCCCACACCCACAGGACCCCTTTCTGGGGAGATCCGCCCCAGTGTCCAAAGAGCAGCATTTGGCATTGAAGACCAGTCCTACACCCAGAGCCCACCCATCAGGCCTCCCCCGGGGGGCGGTAGGTCCCACCTGTCAGTGTCCAGCTGCTCTTTGTAAAGTGGGAACCCTGGGGCTGGGGCTGGGGGCTGGGCCATGGGTCGTCCAAAGTCTGAGCTGGATTTTAAGGAGACTTATAGCCTTTGGAGCCGTCACAGTGGAAGACAAGCCCCTTGCCCTTGGGCACAGAGGTGCTGGTCGGGCTGGTGCCCAGGCCATGAAGGGCCCTCCCTGGGGGCCCACCTTGCTGAGAAGCATAGGCAGGCTGCCATCAGGGCCGGGCAGGGCAGTGAGGCCAGGAGGACCCCTGGGCCGTCCTCTGCCCCTGCTGAGACGGGAGGAGCTGGGAGCGAGGAGTGGGCGTTGGCGTGCCAGGAGCAGGAGGCTCGGGAGCAAACCTTGGTGGCTCAGCCCTGCTCAGTGGCTGGTGTCACCTGCAGCCACCATTCCAGAGCCTTGGGGTCACTTGGGAGGGAAAAGCAAACACGAAGTTCGAGAGGAAGACAGGCGCAGGGCCAATGGGGCTTCTGATGTAGGATGGCTTCCTGCACCCTGGGCAGAGGCCCGTCAGGACGCGCTGGGCGTGCCGAGATGATGAGCCGCTCTGCCCTCAGAGGCTGGCCTCCGTGGGAGTGTGAATTCCTGCCTGCCACGAGGCAGCACAGCCGGAGGGCCTCCAGGAGGCCCCCACCTCCCAGGCTACGAAGGGGCCCTCTGTAGGCTCCCATGGCCCACGTGGGCAAGATGGGTGAGGCCAGCTCGCTGCCGTGCGGGATGGTCACGTGTGTCCCTCACAGTGCCCCGTCCCAGCTGTGCTGCGAGCAGAGGCTGAGGTGCACAGGCACTGCCCCCAGGAGGCACCATCCTCTCAGGCGTGCACGGGCCCTCTGCGCAGGGCCAGCCACACCGGGCGGGTGCTCTGAGCCGGGGCTGCGGCAGTGGGGCCAGCAGAGGCCCGGCTCCTTTGGGGCATGGCCTGTGCCTGGCGAGGGTGGCCTGGCTGTGTCCGTCTCATTTCAGCTGTATGTGCCTGCAAGTCACACGTCCTCTCTACACCTCACTGTCCCTGTTGGTGGCATAGAGGTGACCAAGTCTTAAGGTTTTCCTGAAGATACAGGGCATTCTTAAAGAATGGCAGGATGCTTCCCTACTCCCCTGCGCTGCCCCTGTAGCGGCAGTTCTGCACAGAAATGCCACTGGCACGGATCCCAGGGACCCCACCTGGGGTCGCGTTGAATGGCTCTGCAGCCCTTGGTCTGGGCCCTCTCTCTGCTCTTACAAGGTGTTGCTGGGTGCCTGGGTGCTGGGAGACGGGGACCACTGAGCACCTGCTGGCCCAGGTAGGAGAAGCCCTGGTTGCACAGCGGGGCTCCATAAGCTGTCCCCATTTCACCGTCCCAGCAGTCAGGCATGCTCTACGGCACTAGCTCCTGGAGTGGCAGCACAGGCTGTGGACAAACTCAGGCTCCCAGAGCTGTTGTGTACATGGTGTGTGTGGCATATTGAATGCAGGTATATGTGTGTGTGTGTGTGTGTGTGCGCGTGTGAGTGTGCACATGTGTGCATGTGTACGTGGTGCGCATGGGCATCTGTGTATGTGTATATGTGCACCTATTTTCACCTTTACCCTCATGTACTGAGCATTTCGTAAGTCAGGGGTCCAGGGAGGATCCCTACACAATTCCTGACCTCAAGGACCCCCAAGGGCATGGAACCCAAGGTCGCACTCAGTGGTCCACCTGCAGGGCGGCTGAGCCAGGCTGACCCGTGGTGACAGCCACTGTCAGAGCCCCCTGCTGCCCTGGCAGACATTGCCAGTCCCCAGGCACCTCCCCTCCACCCTGAGTTGCCAAGTCCTGTCCTGCTGGGTGTCCAGCTGCCATGTTGGCATTTGGGAGGCAGCCATTTGCTGGCCTTGCCCTGAGAAGACCACCCTGAGTTGCTGGCACCATGGAAAGTGTTCTTCTCTTAAAACTCCCTTGTAGAATACAAGGGCCTGGAGCTTCCCAGAGATTCCCAGGGTGCCCACTCAGCGACAAGAGGTGGGGGCCTCTGCACATCCCTCCCCAGACTGGACCTCAGCTCAGCCGTCCTGCTGGTCGGAGCTGATGGTGGCCACGTACCCTGGCAGGACTGGCACCCAGGGCCCGTGAGGCTGTGGAGAGGAGCCAAGGGTGGGTGCAGACCACTGCTCCTGCTCCCTTAGGGGGCCACCCAGGGACCAGTAACAGGGTGAGCAGGTGGGAGAGAGCAGACAGTGGGCAGGAGGGGAGGCAGCGGCTCTGGGCGGAGTGGGGAGTGAGCGCCATGCCAGCTGCAGGAGGGGCAGGACGCATGGACATGTGGACCCAGGACCTCAGGGTGCCTGGGGACTGCAGCCGCCCTCCGCACCCACACACGTCCTGAAGCCCCCATTGCCCACCAGGGCTCATCCCCTGACCTGCCGACTGCCTCCCCAGTAAAATGAAGTCCACGAGGGTGCCCACTCTGTGTGTGCTGCGCACTGCCCTCTCCCCAGCTCCAGGGCGTGTCTGCCACATGGAGACGGGACGCGGCTGTGGGACCACTCCCAGGCCCTTCCCCAGCACCTCCTGTGTGCAGGCCCTTTGGTGGTGCTGCACTGCCGGGTGGGCTCTCCGGGGCGGTTAGGGCTCAGAGTCCCACCGTCCACCTCCATAGGGCCTTGCATCCTGTCTCTGAGCTGCCCCCAGGCCTCACATGCAGGGTCTGATCACCCAGCCCTCACGCCACTACCCCTCTGCATCAACAGCCTGGCCAAGCCTGCCTCGGGCACCAGGTGTCCCTTCCAAAGGTCCGGGTGATCCCCATGGTTCCGTGGCCCTGAGGGCATGTGCTCCTTTCTGGGCTGGGTGTCTGACTCTTGGTCATGACCTCTCCATTCGGTTGAAGAAGAGGATGCCCTGTGTCTTAAATATCCTTTCTTATGTACCCAGGGTCATGGAGTCACTCCGAAATAGCCACATTATCTTCTGCTTTCACAAATGTCACTTATTTCTTCCTTTGGCCAGTGCTGCAGGGAGGGCACCAGTCTGCTGCTGGGTGGGCGGTGGTGGCCGGTGACCCGCACAGCTGGGGCGGCACCCAGTGGGCCTGCCTGGGAGCTGCCCTTCCCCCACTGCGGCTCCCACTCGAAGGCAGCATTCTTCTGGGGCAGAAGGAGCCAGAAAATCACTCATGTGGGCCAGCCGCAGCAGCCCGCACCAGCGTGAGGGCGGACAGGGAAGCCTGTGGAAGCATCCACGCCCCAGGCTGCAGAGGGAACCGGAGGCAGCACCGTGCGGGAAGGCTGCAGAGCTCAGTGAAGACAGCAGGGCCGCGAGGGGACTTGAGGGCAGGTCAGGGCTGCAGACCTCAGAGGTGGGGGTGCCCTCCACACCGACAGGTTTCTCGCCACCCCTGGGCTCAGGCAGTCCTTAGGAGAGCCTGGCCAGACCCTAGTGAGGTCAACTGTCCGCCAGAGGTTGGCCACAAAGCCCGGAGAGAAGCCCTTGACCTTCCTTCCCACCAGGGAAGTGAGTGGCAAGGTTATGGCGCAGTGGTCCCTGGGACCTACTCCAGGGGGCAAGGCCTTGCTGAGCGGGGCTGGTGGGACCACCGGGCTTCCCTTCCAAGGGATTTGGAGGGGCCCTGGGATCCAGAGCAGAGTCCGGGCCCCACGTCCCTGCACAGCCTCATCCCCAAACCAGCATGTGAGTGACACCAGCTAGCACACTGCCAGCACTAGGCCCCTCGGGTGGAGAGCCCGGGGGAGCCCAGGCCTCTTGCCAAGGGTGGGCAGCAGCAGGAGCGTGTCCCCACCTTTGCGGCTGCCCCTCCGCCCAGGCTGGAGGGAGGAAGCAGTGCGGGCCCGGCCTTCCGTTCTCACGAGCGTCGAGGGAACGTCTGAGTCTCGCAGTGCGATCTAGACCCGCTGTGCGTGGGCAGGCCTGGTGTCCCTCCAGGAGGCGTCCTGCGTGCTCTGTGGGGGCCCAGCTCCCTCCCTGAGCACCGGTGTGGATTGGAC